AAAAAGATGAGCTACAATAGAAAGAACCCAGGCAGAAATGTTCTCAAATGGGTCAGAAACCCACCCAGGTTCATAAGTAAATTTGAGGAGGGAGCAAGTACAGATTCTTGGGCTTGTATTGACTGAATCACTTCCAGTGTATCCAGACAGGCTGGCTGTCAGCTCGTCCAGGCAAACTGGAGAGTACAGCCTGGATCACGTGGATAGATTTGCAGCGTTGCCTTGACAAACTGGCAGCTGGTTTAGTCAAGCAAATCAGGGACCAAAGCCCAGCTCTGAGAGTAGCTTGATGGCTTACACACTCACTCCTGCTCTACCTGGGAAAGTGGGGGGCAGAATCTCAGATTTCAGGAAACTCAACTTTTCCATTTCAAAAAAGGGTCTTAACTGTATCGTTTCCAACAGAAATATTAAAGTTACAAGGTTCTATCACTGTTTTATTTGACAGATTAAAATGCTATTGAAACTGGCATCTCTTTTCTTGCCCAGCTCTAACCCCAATGCAATTATGAATTTTATTTGGGGGAGGGGGATCCGCACACATTCCTTCAGAAGCTTGAGAGCCCCTTAAGAGAAGAAAGAGACCAGTAAAAAGCAGTGCTCATCTAGAGGAGTAAGACAAGATCATGACAGCCTTGGCAGAAAGGACAGCATGCACTTTGATTTTTACTACCATTGCTTCAAGTGAAGATAACTGTTAAACACCATACGACTTGAAGTGTTAAGGGAAGCTGTGAAAAAAAGGTATATTCAAAGGTATATAAAGCAAATCCAACATATTTTTGAAGATTAGTTTATGCAATGTTGTAGTATAACTTCTTTATTGTAACCCTCAACCTTTCAGAAAAGTATTAACTGATTCCAAGTAATGTATTACTCAAATCATTCTGCTACATTTCAGAGCAAATAAAGAATGGGCTACAAAGGTCACATAAACCCTCAGACAGGTCACAGGTAGCCTGAAAGTTGCCTACCCTGGGGATACTGTAATAGGATTTCCTATTTTTTGATCAACCCAATTTCTATCAAAAGACTAGTATTTAAACGGGTGCCTACTTTTAATAAACACACATTTCTTTACACTTTTACACACAGCCATCTCAGAGAAAATAGTACATTTTTCTATTATGCATTTATGCATCACATTTATATCCCACCACAACAGAATGCAGACTCTTGGCATCTGTGTAAGACTAAGTCTTCTTAAAGTTTAAAACACTAATAAAAAGTTTAATAAAGTCCTATTTTATTTCCCATGAATTGCATGGAAGCAAGCACGAACAAATCTTTCATGATCGTCTACACTGTATGCCAAGAAAACACTTCTACAATTTCTAACTATTCAAGCTGCATTTGACATACAAAACTATGCAAAATAGTCTGGCAGCAGCTCTCTTTCTTACTCCCTACACATTTTTTAAAATGAAAATTTTCTATAGGCAGTATATGAAGACAAGTGGTTACCAAAGGTCATTTAATCCTTTTTCCCTTGCTTTTTTCCCTCAAATCTTCATATAATACAGCACATTTCCTGGAATTGTTCCAATCTCATTTATGAAATGAAAGCATTTCATAAAACTTCTACAGAAGGAAATGCTGGGGAGAAAATTGGTAGTTATGCACTGCTCAATTTTTTACTCAGATTTATATCTCACATTTCTACAATTCACAATATATAATACTGGCTTTACATATAAAATTGGGGCTCCCCAATTTTCATAATGAAAGTTGACAGTAATGTGTAGTTTCTTCCTCAATTTCAGTCTACATATAATCTAAAAATGTTTAAACAATCTAGGGTCTCAAGCAACAAAACTTGTTACTTTATGTACTTGGCAACTACAAGTCAGTGCAATAAAGCCAACTGTCAGATCCAGCTCTGAAGACAGCATTATCTGTAATTGTTAATTGGAAGGTCAGAGCTAATATACTGCTTCTGTTAAAGTTTCTTCTCTAGATACTACAGCTGTATTTCACTATAGCTGTGGGACTCGGTCTAGAACCAAGGGGTAGTACTCAATGATGACAACTCACTAATGCTAAGCGTCCAGGGCTTGTGGGAGTCTTTTTCCCATCTTATGCAAGTCAGAAATTCTATATTTTGATTCCAATTACACAATTCATTACACTCAATGTTGCTTAGATCAGTGGTTATGCTATTAACACTTGGAGGACAATGCTACCTTTTATATTTTTTCCACTTGCCTAACTTGGGATCTAACCCAGGAATAACAGATGTTCTCAGAGTTTCAAAGCTTCCTGCTCACTGATGCTTCCTGGTAAACAAATTGGGCATGTTCACTGCTCATAAGGTTTAGTTCTGGCACAGGGCAGTAGTTTACAAAATAGCCTGTGTGAAGAAGAATGGATCAGAGGCCACTGATTCGACATAGGCCATATACAAAGTGAGTCACATTCCTCCCGCTAGTAAGCAGGCCAAAATCTATTGGCATAATACACACATGTATACCCACTTTTCAGTACCTGAAAGGATGAAGTTTGTCCAGTTTCAGAGAAATAGGCATGAGTTACTGAAGCTAGAATAATTTAAGTTATGAATGTGCACTGGAGGAGGTAAAAAAAAAAAAACCTATTGTATTTAGACAGAATTGGAAGATATTAGCAGATATAGCTGCCTCCTGGGAAATTTCCCAATTTTTAGATGAAAAGACAAAGAACTTTTCTCCCAAGAGTGCCTTTACAAATTGGAGCTCATAAAATATAAATTCTTCCAATCTCTTTTTTTAATGGGCAATATCAATAAAAACTGTAGATATTACATAACTGCTTTTTCGGCAACAAGTCAGCCATTGTCATGAACATGACCTTAGCGTTTGAAAGTTGCACACCAGTACTAATCTTTCTTCCAGTTTATTGCTTACATATAAGTAATGTGAAAAAGTAAGTACACCCCATTGACATTTTTGACTTTTTCAACACGTAGATATTTGATCTTCATTTCATCAATACTGATAAAGGGAATACAGGTAATCCTCTACTTACAACCACAATAGGGACCAGAAAATTTGTCAAGTGGTACGATTGAGGCATCACGTGACCGCACCTAATTTTACGACCTTTTTTGTCATGGTCAAGTGAATCACATGGTTCCCCATTGATTTTGCTTGTTGGAACCCAGCTGAAAAGGTTGCAAATGGTGATCATGTGACCCCAGGATGCTGCAACCGTTGTAAGTACGTGTGTTTTCTGGTAGTATAAAATTATGCCATATATGTACAGTACTGTGCAAAAGTTTTGGGCAGGTGAGAATAAATTCTGTAAACTAAGAATGCTTTCAAATATATATATTGTAATTGTTTATGTTTATCAACTTACAAAAGGCAAAGTAAGCAAATAGAAGAAAAACCCAAATCAAATCAATATTTGGTGTGGCCACCCTTTGCCTTCAAAACAGCATCAATTCGCACACTTTGTACACTTGCACAAAGTCAGGGATCTTGTAGGATTAGAGTTAGGTGTATGATTAACCATTATACCAAGCAGGTGCTAATGATCATCAATTTCATACGTAAGCTGAAACACAGTCATTAACTGAAACAAACAGCTGTGTAGGCGGCTTAAAACTGGGTGAAGAACAGCCAAACTCTGCTACTAAGGTGAGGTTGTGGAAGAC